CTATTTTTTTATATGTGAAGTAAATTATCCTACGTGACGATCTCTCATCGATTTAGAAGTGGTTGATTACAGAGGTACCTTTAATAAAATCATCTTAATTACTATCATTGCCATCGAAAATTTCTCTATAATGCCAATCCGTGTGGTTTGTGTTATGGGCTTTGATTTCTTTGTTTAATATACAATCGTTTGGCCCATTTAGAATTACAAAAATATGTGTAGCCTAAAATTTTTTATATAATTTTTTTTTATATACAATCGTTTGGCTAATTGGTTTTGGATTTTGTTTTTTTTTTTTAATATACAATCCTTTGGCCCATTTAGAATTACAAAAATATGTGTAGCCTAAAATTTTTTATATAATTTTTTTTTATATACAATCGTTTGGCTAATTGGTTTTGGATTTTGTTTTTTTTTTTTAATATACAATCCTTTGGCCCATTTAGAATTACAAAATATATGTGTAGCCCTAAATTTTTTATATAAATGTTTTATATTTAGAGCATTCATAGTTTTACGGCTTTCATAGTTTTTAGGTTTAATATTTTGTTCTAATGTTTCTTATGATTTCTTTGTTGTTGTTTACATTTTTCATCTTTTGTACCTTCGTTGCTTTTGTGATATGCATAATAGTTTGGTTCTTAATTATTCTGTTTCTTTTGTGCGTTAACGTGTAAAACAGCTGATGTCCATGTCTATATTTTGATATTTTTCAAGCTCTTTTATAGGATCATGAAGAACTTGATGCTTAGAGTTTACGTGAACACGAGGAATTTACGAAAGTTAAGAACATAGCAACGACTTTGGGAAATATGAGAATATTGAAACATGGTACTTCTCTCNTTTTCTGCCAGATGTTTATTTTATATTATTGCTTGTTCGTACACCTTTTGGTCAAGATATTTCAAGGTTTGATCGCCTCCCATATATTTTGCTCTCNTTTTATTATCGATTTTCTTACAGTCATGTTGTTCTCCACCTTTAGATCGAGAGTTATATATATATATAACGAATTAAGTAGGATTTTTTTTTTTTTTTAAACTTTTCAGAGGTATATATATTGATATATCCCCCATGACCACCTCAAGTTATGGTGAAGTCTCATGGCTCTTCTCTCTATGCTTCCTTTTCATATCCACTGTTTGATGAAACCCTAAAATTTTTTTGCAAAAAAACAAATAAAATCCTAAAGATATATATTGAGAGAAAAGTTCTTTTTCATTTTTGGTTAATTAGATTTTGTTTTGACCTATGGTTATTATTTTTTTTCAGAATTTTAATAGATGATTTGGGACCGTCAGAGCCTCTCTGTTGTTAGAATCCACAGCCGCCGATCTCAACCTAACTCAGAGTCTTCGCTATCGTCAGTAACCGCCATCATCGTAAGGTAAGCACCAAACCTTAGCTTCTATGTACATGTGTTCGTTGGTGCAAAGCCTATGGTGACTCCCTGAGTTGTTTTCGATCTATTCCACCCCTGTTGATCACTTTCCAAACCGGATCCAAGGTGAGGACGTGTGTATTGTTAATCTCTTATGACTTATGATCGATTCATCTTTGATTTGAGAACAAAAATAAGTGCTATATATATACTTCACAATAGTTTTCAAGTACCTTACCGCGTATCACAATATTGTGTTACTCATTCTTATGAAATTTTTCATTAATTCGTTTAAAATATTTCTGTTTTTAAGTTGTTCTGGTACCTGACCGTGTATTCACTTATTGTGATTTTAGGAATCGGTGACCATAAAAAAATAGGAAAATAAGTTGTATTTTGCTAGAATGAAAACAAGATCATGGTTCATGTCTATAGTGTTGAGATTTCAACAGTGTGAGCTTACACATTCAATGATTAAAGAATAACTTTTTCTTATATTTTGCTCTCACACACATTACAGCTATGTTCTTCTCCAGGTCGATGCGGCTGCGAGACAGTGCAAAACAAGTTTAATGACAGTGGTGGTGGAGGAAAACTTGTGTCGCTGCATCTCCTATTATGATCGCGTTGCACACGTAAGCTGTCGCCAAAATTTGTGGCGGCCATGAAAGATATGTATCGCGTTTTCATTCTAACAAAGAATAACATGTATCGGGGTTTTACAATATATAGAAAGATGATTTTCTCCTCAGACTTATATCACTCAACGAACATTAGAGACACCGGTCCTTATGGTCCAAAACCTATCACGTAACCTGTGATTTGTGTATCCTCTATTTTTGTCTTTCACGAGTTTAGGTTGTCACACTTTTTTTGTTATGTAGTAATCATACCATGATTAAAATCCGAATGGAACTTATATTTTTTTTTTTTCAGCGTTACATCCGAACCAATTTTTTTATAGTTGAAAACTAAGTTTATAGAGTTCGTCGCGGGTTAAGAGTAATGAATCTATGAAGTTTGAATATAAGATCCTATAAATCAAATTAATGGTAGAATATAACAAGATATAAAAACTAGTACATAATTGTATGAGAAAGAGATGCGACGTGATAATAAAAGCATATGCCAAAACTAACCGGACACCACACATTTAACACATATAAAAAATAACCCTATTTTCTAAAAACAAAACGATATAAATACGACCCAAATTTTACTATATCTGAACTGTATCGAACCATAGTTTTGTTTAGTTGTAAAGGTTAAGGCTCTTCTCTTAGGGTTTAGTTATTTTGAATTCTTAAAAAATGATTTTTGTAAGATATTTATTAATATAATTTTTTGCGAAATACTTAGTTCAAACTGATTTCTCGAGCACCAATTTAAATCCAAAAAAATCAAATGTTCCAATATTGTAGACCTACA